CATATAGTACAGATTTCGCGCGTACAGAGTATATAGCACATATAGTACATATAGCAAGGAGCTGGGGGAGAGTGGGGGTTCAGCGGCTTGGCGTGTAAGATATAGCACATATAGCACATATAGCAAGGCCCCGGGGGAGAGTGGAGGTTCCGCGGCTTGGCGTGTAAGATATAGCACATATAGCACATATAGCAAGGACCGGGGGAGAGTGGGGGTTCAGCGGGTTGGCGCGGCAGGGTGGCGCACCCAAGCCGCCGTATGACCGTATGATCCGTATGATTCGTATGACTCGGCGGGCTGGCGTGTCAGGCGCGCCTGGAAACAGGCACCAACCATTTTTTGGTTGCTGCCCGCGTGGAGTTCCGCGTGGAGTTCCCCTCAATCCTGGGGCCACAACAGGATTGAAGGGAGCAATCCTGGGGCCACAACAGGATTGAAGGGAGCAATCCTGGGGCCACAACAGGATTGAATCCATGTTCATCCGACATGTATTCCGACATGTTGAAGAAATTAAGCGTATAGCAAGGAACCCGGGGAAAGTGGAGGTTTCGCGGCTTGGCGCGGCAGAAATGTGAACACGAGTGGCAATTGTGTTGGCACTTGTGTTGAAGAAATTAAGCGTATAGCAAGGAATCCTGGGGGAATTTCAATGCAGGGATACTGCAGGGAATCCCTGCATTCCCGGTATCTCTCTCTTTAGAGGGGGTTTCCCAAATGGTTTATATTCTACCTGAGAGGCTCCTAGCACTCGTCCGTCCAGCATTTGACCTCGTCCTGCGAAGGATTCGAAGTCTAAAACGCTGCGTGCAGGCGTGTGGCTGCAAAATAGAGACCCCTAGATATGCGCTGCAATTTGGCTCCAGGTTGCATTTCAAGCGATGTCAAGCTTTGCCAAAGGAAACCCCTTTTCCCTTTTTTTCGGGGACCCCTTTTTTTGGGACCCCTTGTTTTCTTTTTTTTTTTGTTTTTTCTTAGCCCTAGCCCTGCAAAGGTTGGCTCGCTTGAAATGCAACCTGGAGCCAAATTGCAAGCATATCTAGGGGTCTCTATTTTGCAGCCTCACGCCTCCACGCAGCGTTTTAGACTTCGAATCCTTCGCAGGACGAGGTCAAATGCTGGACGGACGAGTGCTGGGAGCCTCTCAGGTAGAATATAAACCATTTGGGAAACCCCCTCTAAAGAGAGAGTCCAAGCCCTCCATAGGAGGAGCCCTTGTGGACTTCTTTGGGCAGCCCCGCTTTCATTTTTCTTTTGAGCCCCCGGCTGTTTCAGTTCTTGCGACCTTTTGGATCTCACTGCATTTTGCACCTCGAGATCCTTCCCATTTTGATGGCACTTCACCTCTGGCCAGACCTGCTCTCAGGCACGGCCATTTTCTTTCATGTGGACAACGAAGCTGCCCTTCATTCCCTCGTTCGCATGTCCTGCGACAACCATACGGCCGACCAGCTTGTCCAGCATTTCCTACGCCGAGAGCAACGGATGACCTTCGATCCGTGGATCCACCGGGTCCCTACCGAGGTGAATGTTGCCGACGCCCCCAGTCGAGGCGATGAATCTCAGGTACTTTTCTTGAAATCCCAGAAGTCCCACGTTACACCAACCATTTGGAACAGTCTATGGAGCGAGCTGCAGCTGTAAAATTTGCTTGCTCATGTGCCGTTTCATTTCCTACGCATGTCTTGCACATAGTTTGCCAATCATGCCTTTCTTCACACATGTATTCGTTTGCCACTTCCGTCCGCTTGTGCCGCCTCAGGTCACTACACACGGTCGAGCACTCAGTTTACAGGCGAGTTCTCGACATGGGGCGCTTGCCTGCCCTCACCCCCTGTGGCCTTCTTGGGGGACCCCCTCTTTCCGGGTGTGAACCCTTTTCTCCTTTTGGGGGTCCCCCTCTTTCTAAGAAGGACCTTTCCTTACCTTTGATGCTCTACCCCGTGTGCTGAAAAGGAGTGCTTGCGCTCAGGGTTCCTTTGTTAAGTATTTTGGAGAGACTCAAGCTGCTTAAGGGCACCAGGTATAAGGATTGCTAGGGGGTGAGGGCAGGCAAGCGCCCCACCCGAACCCAGACAGAAAGGTAAGCCACTGGTGTGGCAGGCGTAGCCACTCACTCATCCAGCCTGGGTGGGTGGGTGGGAGAAAATCTAAGGCCCTGAAATTGGAAGGAAAGGAAAGGTTTGAGCCTCAAGCTGCAACTCAACAGTCAAGGGCACCAGTATAACGCCGCGAGTGCAAGCACTAGCCTTCTTGGGGGACCCCCTCTTTCCGGGTGTGAACCCTTTTCTCCTTTTGGGGGTCCCCCTCTTTCTAAGAAGGACCTTTCCTTACCTTTGATGCTCTACCCCGTGTGCTGAAAAGGAGTGCTTGCGCTCAGGGTTCCTTTGTTAAGTATTTTGGAGAGACTCAAGCTGCTTAAGGGCACCAGGTATAACAGAATTGGTCACCAAAAAAACTCAGCGCGCTAAAAGAGCGGATTCAAGCATGCAACCATGCATCCCAAGCAGTTTCCGATCAATGTGCGCATTCGCCCTGTCAGGCGCAACCCTGCTCTGAAGGGGGGGTTTGGTCGGCTACTGAGCTGGCTCAGCTCTTTCCGGGGTTGCTTGGAAACACTGAAGAGGGGACAATGCTTCCTGCTCCAGGTGCACCGCGTGCCCTGGAGGCAGTGCTACTTTCAAGCAACGCCTTTTGGATTTGCGGGGTTCTTTGATGTGAGGGTTGTTTGGGTTCAAGCTAGGAGCAGTGCAACAGGCCTTAACTGCTTTGGAGTTGCGGGCCAAGCAAATCCCACAAAACCCAAAACCTGTTCCAGAGCTTGCGCTTGACTCTTCAGAATTCTAACAATGCATGCGATCAAGCAAGTTGGCGGTTTTTGTGGGCACTGACTCAATGGTCTCAAATGTGAAATTAAGGGACCATCCACCACCAGCTTGTTTGGATTGCACCTTTTTCAAGGAAATTGCTGAAATTGCCTGCGAAAAAGGCAACAATCAGCGCAAATCTGATTGGCACATGGTTGGAACACAGCTTTGTACGGAGCTGGACAGGATGCTGTGCAAAAAATAAATGCCCTGTGCATTGCACCATGCGGAGAAACGGGCCCAAAGTGGCAACCGTGTGGTGGAACAGGACGTCCTAAAAACGAAAAGCAGCAACTCGCTCGTCAGAACGCACTTATTTTTTTTGTCAGCTGTCCAAGCATTGCTTGACAAAACATGTCACCGAGCACTGCATTTGCATAGAAGGACAGCAGTGGGTGAGCTAAACGTGCTGAAGGCAAGGAACCCTTGACAGCACAGTGTGTGAACCCAAACTGCAGCACCAGAACGCATGAGCCTTGCCGCTTTTGTCAGACTGAGATTGCACTTTACAGGCCGCTGGCCCAAGACGGTCTGACCGATCGAACACACGTTGTTGACCGGGGGTTCCAAATCTTAGGCTCCGCAAAGGCAGTGCGTGCGGCACGGTCGGGCTGATGAACTGGCCAGCAACCGGCGCATGTTAGGAATGGGTTTAAGGCTAATGGCAGCGGCGTGCATACAAGATTCACCCAAGGCTTTAAACAAATAAATTGCTTGTGAAAAGTGGGTTAACTTGCCGAACTGAGACCTAGTCACTGAACTAGCTACGGTCATTCGGTGTGGCCCTGAGCCACGTTGCATTGTCACTCGGAAAACTAAAAGTCGTCGGGATTTTGATCCGGATTTCTCTGATGAGGATATTTTTCATTCTTCAGAACGCTATTCTAGCGTTTTTGCAGGCCTTGGTGCACTCCATGCCTCCAGGCCGTCAAGGATGCAGATGAGGAAACGCCCGGTCAGGACGATCTTGTTGACCTTGCTCTTTTCCGATGATTTGATCGCTCTGCCTATACCAATTGTTGCCAAGTTTTCGACGTTGTGTTGGTTTGCGAGTGCGGGTACTTTATTGTTCATACCGAAGCAGCCTTGTTGCAGCCCAAATCAGTCTTTTGGTTACGCAACCATGCCCTCCATGCCGTTCGAAGTGGTGGGTGCAAAGACAGTGGTGGCAGTGGGTAGCGCCAACCCGGGCAAACTCACGGCAGTTGAACTTGCGTTGTCGCGTTGGGCAATCACTGCCGATGTCAAGGGTTTCTCCGTGCCTTCGGGTGTGGCCGAGTTGCCCATTGGCCTCCAGGAAACCATTGATGGTGCCAACAATCGTGCGCGCAACGCGCTCGAGGTAGCCGACGCGCAGCCATCAATGGGTATTGGCCTGGAGTCGGGGTTTGTGCAGGCAGGTGCGCTTTGGTTCGATATCTGTGCATGCTCTGTAGTGATGGCGTCGGGGAGAAATTTCACGGGCTTGTCCTCCGGCTTGCTGCTGCCGCCTGTGGCAGCAACTTTCCAAGAGCGGGGCTACAACGAGGCGTGGGAGGCGGCTCTTGGCCGGTCGGCCGAGGACAAAGGTGACGGTGTGCTGGGTATTTTGTCCGGAGGTGTGCTGAGCCGCCCGAAGCAGATGGCCGAATCCATGGATGGAGCAATGTTGCAGCTGAGGAACGAGGTGCTGTACAGTCGCGAACTTGGGCCATGACATGTGGCAGTGTTTTTTTGGCGCTTGTCATGACATAAACATGATCCCAGCATGGACATGCTGGAGTTTGGGTGGCGGAGTAGTACAACCTGACACGAGGCAGCCTGTGTTTGGTCGCATGCTGACAACGCTCCCAATGGGATGCTGGTGTGTATTGCGGTATTGTGTTTGACTTTTCCCGCAGAAACCCACATGGATGACAATAACTGCTCTCAAAAATGAATGCCTCGAGATTCAGCGTGCACAAAAAACATAGGGTCAATGCCCCCCAGTGAACATCTCCAACATTGCGAACACACTTGCTCGAAATGAACATGCTGCTTACAGACACTGTCAATTCAAGTTCCCCAAAACCGAAGGTTGGAAGAGGTGTATGGCTGGTGAGAGCAGACCATGGAGGCTGTGCAGAGGGATGTATGGAACTGCCGCATCCCTGCTCAAAGTCAGCTCCCGCCCACACCTGCACGGCCCAGATGGAGTCTGTTCTGCGAGTCTTCCGCCAAGCGGACGCAGAAGAGCTGCCTCGGGGCGATATTTTGCAACTCCTGAAGGGGTGGTGGGCTTAGAATTTTAGAAAGGGCTTGGTTCGGTTCGGCTACTGTTTTGCAAGTTTTGCAAGTCTGCCCTGTCCGCGTCAGACTGACAAATGTGGAAAACCACGACACGGTTCTGGATGCCTACATTGCGCGTGTGCCACTAGAGCACGGCATGGTCCGGATGGGGCCCTTTCTGGACTGGCTGGCAGGGAGCCACCTGGGCCCAACCGACTCAGAGGCGAGCGCAGTTCTTTGCAATTCGAATGAAATCTGTGCCACATCCTTGCTAATGTCAAGTCATTGCAATTCCAGCTGTATTTCAGCCTTCGCAGCGGGAATCAGGTTCAGAGCGAGCTGGTGGTGCAGGCACTGGCACACCGCGGCCTAACTCTGCGGAGCTTGGTGGGCTTCATGCGGCGACTTCCTGTGCTCATGCCCCACTATGAGCTGGACAGAACCAGGAGCTGAATCGGTTGTATTTGTGAGTCTAGAGCAGCTCGGGTATTTGTGGTGCTTGGCAAATGTGGAAGCAGAGCCGATAGGATGGTTGCCTCAAGTCATCTAAGTTTCTAATTAGCTAGTGGAGTTACCGCGCCACCGTCGAACCTTGGATTTCGATAGTGCAGAGATGGATGGCACTGTTTGCAATATGAGGATTTGGTTGCCGTGACGCCTCAAGCAAAATATCAACAAAGAATACCGACAAAGAAGCAGAACATTCAGAAGAAGCAAAAGAAGCAGAAGAAGAATAAACATAAGAGCAAAACAAGAAGAGCTACACTATGAGGAAGATCAGGAAGAGGAATACAAAGAAACATAATTCAAACAAAGCCAACAATAAGACAATCAAGGCAGCAAGACCCCACACACAACCAGCACCATAAGCAGCATAAACAGCAGCAGCAACAGCAGCTGCTGCTACTACTGCTACTCCTTCTCCCACACTCCTCCTCCTTGTACCTTTATTGTTACTGCGGCTACTGCAGTTGCAGTTGTATCAGCAACAGCAACATCCATCGCAACAGCAACAGCAACAGTACCATCAACAGCAGCCCAAATGCAAAGCAACAACATCAACAAAAAGACAAAACAACAACAGCGACTGCATGAGCAGCCCACAGCGGCAGCGGCAGAGGTAGCGGCGTCGGCAGCGGCGGCGGCACAGCATAACAAGCAACCAAGCAGAATCAACATACAAAACAAAGGTGTGTTTGAGAAGCCGTATCAGTCTTTCCCAACAGATGCTGCAAAGCTACTGCTGTGAGGACTGTGGATGTCGTTTGGCAAGCTGCTAGGCAGAGAGTGCATGAGTAAGCTTTGAAGGGGATCGTGCGATTTGTTTGAAGTGTCCGAGCGTGGGCTTTCATTTCCAAGGCAAGTCCATGTCTTAGCAACGTTTTCCTTTTTCTTGACCCCTCGAGTTTCACTGGTGCCCCTGGCCGTCCGTGAGGTCATCATTCCAGAGACGGCTGCCAGGGGGTGCGCCTATGCCGAGCTGCTCCAGGATGTCGCTCAGCCGTGTCGGCAGGGGAACCCGACGGCATTCTGTGTCTCTCATGGAGTGTCCGTAAGGAAAAGCGGCTGCCAGACAAGATGGTGTCGCACAATTGGGGCAACCTCTTCTCCCACCTCATCGCAGCCCTCTTTGCTGATGCAGCGGGCCACACTGGCTTCCGGCAGGTGCTTGAGTGGATGCGGCTGGGAGATGCAGGCCTGTTGAGAAACGCCGGCCGGGAAGGAGGAAAGGGGGCACCGGCCGAGTTCTCAGTTTTCGGATTTGTGGACAGAGAGAGGTCTGATGCGCAAAGGCCCACATGTGACTGACCGCAGGCTGGGATCTGATTGAAGCCCAGATCCAAGATGCCGGCAAGCTTGACAGCAGCCGCTGGCTCTGCATCTTCGCAGTGAACCAGCATCTAGGCTGCGACGTTGAGGGCTGAAGCAGAGATGCACAGCTGCGAAAGCTCTTTGAAGCTGCAAGTTGCCAAACAAGTACAGGACTTGGAACTTGGCACAAGTTGAACTGAGGCACATCTCCATTTGCAACCAGACTTGGGGCGGGAAGGACGCCTGCACAGGGCAGCTCTACACGCCCTGCACCTGTGGAAAGGACTGGGACTGGCTTGAGTTGGGTCCTTTGGATGCCATATAGAAATGAATAGGTTGAGGCGTCAGAGGTGCGTGCGATATCTCGGTTTCTCAAGTGCTCACAACGTTTTACTTGCCACGTGGAGATTCAGCACGTTTCCCTGAGGAAAAGGTCCACTCGGGTGCCCTCTGCGAGATGAACAAGTTTGACGCTACTGATCTAAATCCTGATCAAGGGATGTTGGTTGCTCTCTGAAGTGCTACAGTCCGGTGTCGTGCAGTGGCTCAGGCAATGATTGAGTTATTCAAAGCACGATGCCCAAAGTATGAGCACGCAGCTCGGGCAGAAGATTGACATATCTTGAGCAACTCGCACATGATTCTATCTTGGGAGAGGGTTCAGAACTTCTGATCTCACTGAGGTGGTTGCAGTGGATGATGGTCTGTATCTTCTGACCCGAATTTGGGTCATCGCTGAAATTGCAGAGGCTGCTCTGCATGCTTACAGCGACAAGTGAATCAAGTCAGGACTTGGATAGAAAACTATGACTTCAACACAACTTCTCAACTTCTGACCCTTTAGTCAACATCTCTGGCAAAGAGGAGAGCTCCCGTTCTCCATTTCGAACCCCCCGCAGGTCTTCCGACATGAGCTTCCTTGCAAAGTGGTCCTCCTGGAGCCACGCAGTGGGGATCCCAGGGTTCTACGGGCAGGCCCCAGCACGACTCGCTGAGGTGACAGGGCAACCCTTTGTCATTTTAGGGCGCTTAGGTCTTTTTGTTTTCCTTTCTTCTCCTCTTTTGTTTTGCTTCTTTCTTTTTTCTTGTCACATTCTCTTTTTTATCCGTTTGCAACATGGCGAGTTGTTTGCTCCGGCTTTGCTTCCGCTCACGCAAGGCCAGGAGCTGCTGAGCAACGTCCAGGTGATGGACGTGCGAAATGCGCAGGTCCGACGGTTCGTCTCTCGTGTCTCTCATGGCCTGTTTTAGACTGATCGTTGATTCATTGAACAAATGGCATGTCGCGGCATCTCGCATGGGCAGTTTTGGGCAAGGGACTAAGCCACACGCTGAGGAAGATCTTGTTCCATTCTGTATGCATCTGAGATTTGCCGGAACGTGTCTGATCGCATGCCCTCGGTGGGTTCGGGGCACGCAGCGGGCGCGCAGCGCGAAGGCAAGCCGGCCTGAGGATGTCGAGCTGATTCTGGCAGCTCGGGCTGCGACAGCTGACCCACAATAGCTTGCTGCATGCTGGTTTGGTTTGAAGGATGCCTCCAAACTGGTGAGTGTCTTCACTGAGCAATTGGCAACCAAAGCCGGGCTCACAGAAAGTACACGCTCACCATCAAATTTCGGGGTTGTCTCTCGTCATTCGCCCTCTGGTTTTGGACTTCATGTTTTGCCTGCGTCTCAGGCGAAGATTCCTGACAAAGAGGAGTTCAATACGCGCACTCGGGTGGCGCTCATGGTTGTGGCACATTTGGCCAGTCTCCAGCTGCGTGCCGAGAACCTTGGAAGAGAAAGTCGCCGCCGTTCACTTGTTTGTGAAGCAACGAGAAACCAATGCTTGCACGGCCACATGGCAGGTGCGCAGGACCGCGCGCGTTCACGCTTTTAGTTTCCTGGCTCGTGCCCAATGAAGCCCTATGTGCTAAGGCTTGAGCATTTTTTAACAAGCCCGGCTTTTCTGCTGAAATGTGCATCGAGTTGCCAGGCCTGCAATATTTGTGCAATTTGCACCTTGAATCTGAGCTCTTCAGCACTTTTTGCACTTAGCAACCGTGGGCCTTGCGCCGGATGCAGATCTGCGATTACTCTTTTGTCCGTTCAAGGGTGTTTTTGTGACCGAAGCCAGGCAGTTTCTCTAGTGACCCACACAGGCTCGCATCGGAACTTTGGAGTCCAATCGACGTAATACACAACGAATGTTTGCTGCCACGACTACGTTTCCACGGGTCTAAATCGGGAGTGATACACAGGACGATGGTCTCGTGATTCCTTGGATGACTTGGAAACGTGGGCCAAGTCAGATATAGCACACTATGAGAAAGGCCAGCGTTTGGTAGAGGCCGTGAGAAGCGTCAAGCAAGCGAGCGGTCTGCTTGCGTGATGCCTCGTGTACATTCGTTAGTTGCGTACGTCGAATGTGAATGGATCTCTGTGAAGCAAAAGCGAGCCAAACAAGAAGCCCCTTTCCCCGAAATCACTGACGTGATGATGGCGTCCGGGCCAACCCGACCCCCGACTCAATGTCTGCCCTCGCGACATGCGCGCTCAGATCTTAGGATGGTGGAGCTTCTTAAGGGCATCTCCTCCCCAGAGAGGGATCATCGCAGCTTGCAGCAAGTGGATGCCACCCGGGCCCGCCTGAGCCAGGCGGGAGCTATTTTGCGGGAGCTATTTCGGGAGCTGGTGTGAAGCCCGGCCTTTTTTTTCTCCCTGCAGGCCTCCAACCTCCAAGAGGTCCAAGAGGTTTGGGAGGACTTTGAGCGGCAGAGCGAGAAGGTCTCGGATGCGGACCAGAGACGCGGCAGTGTGAAAGGTGACCGCAAATCTGCAATTCTGCTTTAGGTCTTTGGACCAACCCGTTTGTTCCCGGTTTGCGAAGGGTTGTGGCTGCCAAAATGGCCTCGAGCAGCTTGCCACGAAAATGAGTTCCTTGGGTTCAAGGTCTTGAGCCTTTGAGGGTACTGGCCCCAGCAGAACAACAATCCAAATACCAAGGCTGCCATGGCTGACAACAGAGGCCTTTCCACTACTTGGCTGTTGTCTCAAATGGGCCAGTGTGGCTGGACACCTTTTCAGGATCAAGATGATGAACGTCTTTGGCCTGCTGCGAGAGGTCAACCTCACGCAGCCAGAGCCCCAAAAGGCCCAAAGGTGAAGCGCCTGGGCCTTTTCCCAGTTCCGTACCGGTCCACGCCGCTGACCGAAAGCCGAGCCAAGCAAAAAAGCGAGGCCGGAGCTCTTTATCAACACGTATCGACGGGCGGCGCTGCCTCAGATGGGCTTCAGGCAGGTCGTGGAAGTGAGCACAAGCGCAAGACCCACTTTAGCTCGCCGAAAGGCCAGACATGTCGGACGAGGACATTATGGCCGGCTTCTGGCAGATGCGCACAAATGTGCAAAGCATGAGTGAGCTGCCACATGTGCGCTTTGGATGGATTGGTGCTCGAAAAGCCAAGTTTGGTTCTCTTAAGTTCACTGTCAGGTATGTGGATGGTCCCGCCTTCATGGCGGTTGTGGTGAAGTCCAGAAAGCCGCACTCCACGGTGATTTGCATCACGTGCCCGCACGAGCTGCTTGGTGCGGCCGGTTCAACATTTGCCGAAAAAACCGACTTGCTGGTGGTCTCGCTCTTTGCCTTGGGCCTCTGTTGGTCATGTGGGTCACGACATCTTGCATGACTCCAGAGTCAGATGTTTGGGTCCTCTTCGGCACGAATCTATTGAGGTCTCTGCACGTTTTCTTCGAAATGGGGGAGAAAGCTCCTTGGCAGTCGCTTGGGCCGTCCGCAAATCCCACTTGAGGCTTGGTCGCTTGCTCCTCTTTTTTTGTTTCTCCCAGAGCTTTCCTCAACGCACGCCATGAGGTTCAAATGACCGAGTCCAAGTTCCCAAGCCACCTGGTGACGATGGTCTACCGGACCCCAGGGCCTGCCCAGGCTTGTCGGTCCAAAGGCTTTTTGGATTTTCCGGCTTCTTCTCCCTTTGTTTCCAAGGCAATCAGGCCCTTTTTGAGTATTAGCTTGGCAGGTCACTCGAATTCTTTCTTGTTTTGATTTTTTTGGGTCGTGATGCCCTGAGGTTGTCATCCACCGCGGGTTGAACGAGTTGCGTGGCTGAATCCAGGGGTGAATGTGAGTCGAGGCCAAATTCCCATTTCCTATACATGCAGGTGGTTGGAGTAGCAATTTCAGGGAACATTCAGTTTCTACACCTCGCTGAATGTCTATGACTACGGCGACCGGCTGTTTGTTCTGTCAAATTAACCGAAAGCATAGCATGACAAGTTGGACCCGTTTTTAGGTTGGGGTATTTTTGACAAAGACCTACCGATCAGTCCAAATTCCTTGCGAGGCCTCCAGTTTGCTACAGCGGTCCCTTTGAAGAGAAGCCTCTTGCAGAGTTCGTGGTGGCGGAGGCTTTCGCGGGAATGGTTGTCAGAGAGCGAAGAGCGGAGAGGAGACATGTTTGGAAGGGATGTGACTGAATCAGGCAGGCTTTTTGGCCATGCCCTTTTTCTCCGGTACCTTGTTTCCAGTCAGCGAAACTGGGAGCGGAGGCTCTACCACGATTCGGGCCACTCCACGAGGCAGGGTCTCTGTGAGATGGCTTTGCCTGGTTGGTTCTCAACTGGGGAGGTGAACCGGGTCCACTACTTGGTGCAAGCAACAGCCGGGCTGCTGGCGGTGTGGCTGGGCGTCGACGTGGGCGATGTCGAAGCTGGAGTGGTCGAAGCGATGAAGGCTGTTGCGGTGGACGAGGCGATGCAGGGCATCCCGTGCTGCCTGCTGGAGCGCTCTCCAGAGGTGCTGAAGCGCTTTGAGCGCTTCCTCGGCGGCGAGCGCTTTTCGAGACCCGTGGCGGTGCTCGTCTTGGGGCAGCTGGGGGGCCGCAGGTTCAAGACGAGCTCCGACCAGGTGAAGAGCTTCATCCTGCCACTGGAGCTGCCGCTTGACCCGGCCCGACTGCTGGGAGAGATCCGGAGCGCCCAGAATCAAGAAGGCGAGGCAGAGGTCCATGAGTCGCCGCTTCTTGGGGAGAGGTTCTTGCAAAAGATAGAGCCCCCCAGAAGGTGAATCCGGAGTTGCTTGCGGTGAATCTGGATCCTGCTCAAGCTTTAGCAGCCGCCGAGCCATCGAGCTGTCTCCACTCTTGCCGAGCGCAGAGCTCTGGAACTTGTCCAGTTTTGGACGCGCCCTCAGATGTGTGCATGGATTGAAGCAATGCCAGCCTCAAAGAGGCCGGACGTCGACAGATCGGCTGCCCTGCATGAAATTCTAAGAACTGGGATGAAATGAGAGAGGCTGACATGTGCATTTCAGTGGTCTTGCATGTTTCAAAGTTGATACAGGGCAGCCAGGGCACGGATCCCTTGTACAGGCCCAGTGTTGAGTTGTCGTGCTCCGAAAGAAAACAAGCCAACAGCTACAGTCTTTCCATGGACCACTCCTCGAAGTGGCGCATTTGGGCTTTTGCCATCATCTTGGCGTGTCTAACTACCCACGAAATCTTGGCAGCACTTTTCCCACCAGGGCGCATTTGTTAAGAGGCATGAAGGGACCCGGTTGGGCTATTGAGAAGCTTACCAGCTTTTGGCAAAGTTCCAGCAAAACATCACAAATTGCCAGATTCTTGGATTCACCAACCGCTCGTACTTGGTCGTTTCCTTTGTCCGTAGTGTTTGGGCATCGGGCGTGCTTCCTGGACAACAGCACTTTGATCCCATGGCATAAGATCCACACGTGCCTTGGCCTGAGTCAAGTCGGTACGGTTGCATGGGCTTTCACAGCCACTTTGGGTCTAGCTTGCATCCAGATATTCTCGGGCCCCGGATTGAGTGGCTGTCAATTGCAGAGATGAGGCGCGGCAAGTCATCAGTTGGCTCCATGTGTTCCGGTGTTGAGATGGAACAGACCAGACGGGCATGTGTGCAGGAGACCAGGCCACAGGCTTTAGCAGAGCTTGGTCATTGCCTTTGCAGATAGACGCCATTGTCGACCTTGTGTCTTCAAGTCTAGGAGATAAAGAATTGGACATCGATGGCTTCCAAACGTATTTTCCAAACGGACTTCAAAAGGTCGTTCCTCATCAACTTGTTCTCGGCCAAAGAGGCGGCGAAAATGCGTGGACTGGGGGCCGCGGATCGCCAGATCGCAGGTGAACGGCAACCCTTTCGACTGCCAGGAGCTGTGAATGGCCGTCAAAGCAGCAGACAAAGCAAAGACTCCAACAGAGCACGCGCTGATTCATTTGTTGTGTTCGTGGGTAGGTGCATACGTGCGCACAGGCGTACGTGCATGCCGGAAGGAATGCACACATGCACATCCACACACGCATAGACGTACACATGGTGTGTCTTTTTGGAGGGTACTTTTTTGGGTTTCACCCAAAAGGGAAAACAAAGGTAATTTGTTTTCGCGGTTCCCCTAATACATTTATGTGCACACGCACATACATAGATATACATACACATACATTTGCATATTCATACCCTGTAGATGCAACCCATGCATATCTAAGATCTATGTGTTACACATACACCTTTTTCCACATACATTCAGTGTGTCATTGTTTTGTCATTTCAATTACAATCAATCAATCCATCCATCCATCCATCCATCCATCCATCCATCCATCCATCCATCCATCCATCCATCCATCCATCCATCCATCCATCCATCCATCCATCCATCGATCCATCGATCGATCGATCGATCGATCGATCAGTCAGTCAGTCAGTCAATCACTCAATTCATCAGTCAATCAATCATTCAATCAATCCATCCAAGCACCAACCAATCAATCATCAGCTTTGCCGCTGCTTTGGATATACACACACACACAGACAGACAGACCGAGACAGAGACAGAGACAGAGACAGAGACGGACACAGCCAAAGACAGACAGAAAGACAGACAAGCAGAGGACAGAGACAGGCAGACAGACAGAAAGACGGAAAGACAGAAAGACAGAAAGACAGACAGAGACAGACAAAGACAGACAAAGACAAGCAGAGACAGACAGAGACAGACAGAGACAGACACAGACAGAGACGGACAGAGACGGACAGAGACAGGCAGAGAGACAGACAGAGACAGACACAGACAGAGACGGACAGAGACGGACAGAGACAGGCAGAGAGACAGACAGAGACACAGACACAGTCGAAGACGAAGACAGACACAGACACAGACACAGACACAGAGACAGAGACAGAGACAGAGACAGAGACAGAGACAGAGACAGAGACAGAGACGGCCCTGAGGTAAGGTTCCACGAGGGTTCCACCAGGGTTGACAGAGGCAGAGGCAGAGGCAGAGGCAGAGGCAGAGGCAGAGGCAGAGGCAGAGGCAGAGGCAAAGGCAGAGGCAGAGGTAGAGGCAGAGGCAGAGGCAGAGGCAGAGGCAGAGGCAGAGGCAGACAGACAGACAGAGATAGAGAGACCGACAGACACCGGAGACAGAGGCAGACATGGACTGACATCCTTTCTTTACTCCTTCCTTCCTTCCTTCCTTCCTTCCTTCCTTCCTTCCTTCCTTCCTTCCTTCCTTCCTTCCTTCCTTCCTTCCTTCCTTCCTTCCTTCCTTCCTTCCTTCCTTCCTTCCTTCCTTCCTTCCTTCCTTCCTTCCTTCCTTCCTTCCTTCCTTCCTTCCTTCCTTCCTTCCTTCCTTCCTTTTTTGCATATGCGCAAGCAAGCCAGCCAACATGTCAGAAAGTACAAATGGCATGGACCAAGCGGTTGGTTTGAGCAAAATTCAGAGTTCGTTGATGATGACACTCTATTTTGGGGTTTCTGCAGGACAAGCCAGGCCGGTGACCCCAGTGAGTACAAGGGAGAAGTTACCCCTCTAAGGGCCGGAGGTGTGGCTCTCATTCCTCGTGGCCGACAGCCCTGTGCGCAGAGCGTGCCTGCGCCGGAAACTGGTGCTGTGGCGGACGGTGAGATCAAAAAGCATTGGACACATTTTTGCAGGTTTTTACTTTTCATTCGGAAGTTCACGAACAAATACTCGCGAAGGAGCCTGGGTTGATTTCATGCTCTCTCTCGCCGCCGTTGCAAGAGATGGCCCAGTGAGCAGCCTCTCTCTTGCCATGGAGGGAGTGGAAGCCTTCCTGAAGGATGCCGGGCTGTCCGATTTCCTTCAGGCCCTGTCAGATCTGGGAGTGCGGAGTCTGGAGGACCTGAAGGAATTGGAGCCGGACGACCTGGAGGAGATCGGGATGACCCTCGGTCAACTTTTTCCGGTTTGCGAGAACGTGGCAGGCTGTGGGCTGTTGGCTCTCGGTCTGTTTCAGCGTGTCCGCTTGGTAAAGTAAGGTAATTCCGGGGCGAGTAAGCCTCCACAACTGGCCAGGGTCTTGAGCCCGAGTTGCAGGATGCTTTTGTTTGAGAAAGGGGTTGAAGAACCGATGTCCCCAGGAAGAAGCTCCAGAAGAGGCGCCTCGCCCGCACCCTTGGCGCCAGTGAGCGCGACGCCGAGCCGCCGGAGAAGCGGCCGCGCCTGGAGAAGCCCGTGGCGCGGCCCGGCTTCGCCAGCCGGCAGCCCACCCAGGCCTCGGGCTGGGGGCTACCTCATGCGGGGATTCTGTTGGAGACTGATTCTTCTGCCGTTCTGCTCACAAGATGGGGTTGAAATGGAGTGTGGTGTTCGGTGGATGGGTTTTGCACGATCTTTGCGTGCATTAGCTGGCCAGGAGCCTCGCAGCGAAGTTGTGGACGACCCGGCCGAGGGCAAGGATGGCACAGATGCCAACGTCAACAAGGTGGAGCTGAACGCCGACATCCTGGAGCAGCTGAACAGCTTGGGCCAGGACCAGCTAAGTCTGTCGAAGGCGCTTTATGGTCTTGTTGTTTGACAGGGTGCCAGTGAATCGTGACAAGGAGGAGGCAGCTGATGTAATCATGTCTGATGGCGACCTGGACTCCGACTTCGAAATCATCGGCAACGATGGTGATGGGGTCGCTCAGCTCATCGGTCTGCAGACGGACCTCCAGGACGACATGCACGTGGCGAAGCTGGTGACCAGCCTGGAAGGGGTCGTGGCGCTCTGCAAGATGCTGGGGGATGGCGGCGCCTGTGCCGCCCCCAAGCTGAAGGTAAGCTTCGAGAAGCTGGAAAAGGCGGGCAAGCTGCCGATCGTCGGCGTGCTGGGAGAGCAACCCGCGATCCGCGGCTTCCTTGAGAGCTTGCAGGTGGCCCCACAAGCGATGGCAGTGCTGAAGTCGGTTGGGCTCTACGCGCTTCATCACCACCAGCGTCTGCTGCTTATTGTGTGGCCAGCCCCTGCTGGCTTCCAGGATGCCGCGTATCGCCGGCCCATGGTCAGCTTCGTCCATTTCCTGCTGCAGCTGACCTCGGATATCATTTGGCTGGTTGGAGAGAAGGACTTGCAGGCGGTGCAGACTCGCAGAGACGCTGTGCGGTCAGTCACTTCAAGGACGGGCAATGGCGAATCCCCTGCATTTGCCAGACTGGCGCTTCCCAATCTGGCAGTCCAACATATTCAACCCCCCTTTCCACTGCTCACCAACAGCGCTCTTCTGTTTTTGTGTTTGTTTGTTTTTTGGGCTATCGGTATGCTATCAGATTATCAGCGTAAACCAGCCAGCCATCAAACGTTTGGCTGTAGTGGACCTGAGCCTGCCTGATGTGTGGTGCACGAGGGAGCGAGGGAATCAGACTTTGTCAGCGTTTCAAGACAACAAAACTGCTGAGGTGGTTACGCTCTGGCGCGTGCACCATAGCTGGGTTCAATACTTGCCGCTATTTTCATTTCGGCATGAAACATGTTTGTAATCTGTTATTCACATACTGTGCTGTCTTGCTGCTTGGCCGAACAACTGTGCGCCTCCCGCGAGGAACCTGGACATTCAGATTGGCATGAGGGCTGCCAGCGAAGATGATTGCACGCTGGGATCACGATTCCGATTGTCTATCCCATCTGCAGTCAATGCACAGGAAGTACGGATATGCAGTAGCAGGCATCGTGCCTCTCTCAGCATGCTTAGGGTACAAGCTGCTGGTCAGCACGAAGTTCCGTTTCAACGGTCAGACACCATCACAAACTTCTTCCGCGAGGTGAAGGATACCCATGCAGTGCACTTTCACCCTGAATTGCAGCTGGAGCATTGCGGACAGTTCCTTCAAATGGTATCTCCCCCGAACTTCGACCAAATTCAGGGCGAGCACCAGGAGAAAGCGCGCCTTCTTGCCACTCAAAGACGGGAGCAGGAGCAAGCGATAGAAGAATCTGAGAGTCAGAAGAGAGAGGAGCTCTACTACATGCTGAGGGAAGCCGCACGAGCAGAGGTCCTGAATAAGTTCACCACGGAGTTCTTTGTGCTGATGTCTGAAACCGAGTGCGTCGTGTGCCTTAGAAGGCTGCTCGGTTCAGCTTCGTTTGTTTTTGGCCTCTCTTCGTGTTCTGCTTGTGTCGTGTGATGTTGTTTGAATTTGAGCTGTTGTGTGTTTGTACTACTTTGCACTGTGATTGCCTTCCGCTCTGCTGTTTCAGACATGTTGGTTCTTGAGCGTCGTGTTGGCTGTTGCTTTCCTGGTGGTATCGTTTGGCTACTCAGTATTTGCGGGTTCCATGCTTTGGTCTTTGCTGCTCTTCCTGCTTGCTTGCTTGCTTGGTTGCTTGGTTGCTTGGTTGTTTGTTTGTTTTTTGTTTTGTTTTTTGCTTGCTTACTTGTTTGTCTCTCTGCCTTCCTGTCTGTCTGTCTGCCTGCCTGCCTGCCTGCCTGCCTGTCTGTCCGTCTGTCTGCCTGTCTGTCTCTTGGTTTGGTTTTGGTTGTTCTTATTGCCGTCTGCTAGTTGATATTTTTTAGCTGGTTAGTTGTTAGGTGTGATTTGTTGCAGCTGTTATTGTTGCTGCAATTGCTGCAATTGGCGCAGCTGTTGAAGCGGTTGTTGCAACCTAAGCTGTGCTCGTTATGCTTTTGCGTAGGCTGCACGCTTGCGTCCTTGCTCATGCTGTCGCTTCTGTCCGCCGTGTGATGCCAAGCAGTGCTGGGCCAATGCCCTGCCAGGCAGAAGCTTTGCCACCGTTTGTTTTGATTCAAGCTCATTCAGACTGATGTAGATTGCTGGCGTGGTGTTGCTTTGGGTACAAGGCAGGGTTGGCAGGGAATCAACGCACAGGCTGGATGCGGATAGTGTCCGACTTCGCTGTGACGCGAGCCATATCCTGCATCGACAGTGCCTAGCGCGACATTTGGAGACAATGCCCCATTGCCACCTGGTGCCATTTGGGCTTGATTTCGTACAGGAAATCTTTCAACGACACTTTGATGTGAAACAGGGTGATGACTCAGGGGACTCAGCGGATACATATCTTGGTAGTCATGTGTTGTAGCTAAGGTCCGATATGCAGGCTGGGGGCCATGTTGTTCTTGCTTTTGGAGCAGTAGTGGTGTGGGAGCTGCCAATTCACGGGGCGCAGCCTTGCAAGGAAAGGTGTCGCTGGCGATATCACGGGGTCGGTGTTGGCGGCAACCTCAGTCTCATTGCTCCTGATTGTCCCTAGAGAGCGTGCCAGTTACTGCCCAAGGATCTGGTGGACAGAGAGGCAGTTTCGCGTTTGTCAAGGCAGTTTCCCGCCCAGCAGGATCATCCACTTGTGGGCTCATGGAAATGCAGTGACAAGAAGGACAATTTTGTGATTCTTGAGGAGGGAGGTCATTTGATCCTCAAGTTCCGCAATCAAACCGGCAGGATCACAGCTGGCACTGGTATGGGAAGGGATTTCTGGTATGCAAATATGGAAATGCCGAATTCTGTCTCTGTGGGTACCATCCGCATCAAACACAGCGGCGATGAGAACCTTTCTTTTTGGTGGCGCAGTTCCGGCTCACTACACAAGGATTGGGGAGTTGCAAGGACAGCGTGCAAAGATCCACTTTTGGCGCGCCTCTGCGATGCAGCAGTTGAAGGCATTATGAAGCGAACCCGAGCAATGTTCACTAGGCTAAAGCTCATGTATACATTTGCCGAAGTTGCTCATGCAAAGGATTGGCTGAAAGCCGCAAAACTTGACTTGGCGGACACTGAACGAGAAATGCTCCTGCAGTCTTTGGAGGACGACAAGGGTGTCTTCAACAAATGGTACGAGAAGCTGGTTCCCTCTGCATCTCCATCTTTCACCTCAAAAGTTTTCGCCATTGTTGCTAGCACTGGCAGCAATGCACCAAAGGAGCTTAGCATGCAAGACGTGACTCGGCTTTTGCAGAAAAAGCTGGAAAGTGGCAGTGCTAAGGACGAGCAGTACATCAGAGCAATCCATTCATGTAGAGATGACTTGAACAGCTGTTTGGAAAAGCGGTTGAGGGAGATGGCGGACTTTATGTTCCGACATCACACTTCAATTAGTTTTACTCACAAGAAGCAATCTCTACGAGCAGACTTTGTGATTCGCGAGCAAGCGCTCAGCAGGGAGCTTCAGTTTGCATACAGCAAGGCTATGCAGGCATTGGCTCCGGAGAAGGCGCTCAAGATGACTCTTGCCAAAATGACCCAACGCCTTTCGGGCACTTTTGTTTTTGAGGGTAGAATGGAGGTCATCGGCGAGCCAGAGCTCTATTGTGGCATGCACAATTTGAAGGTTGAAAAGGAGCACTTTGAGCATGCAGTCGCTGCCGGCAAAGATTTGCGGGTGGAACTAGAGCGGCTCACGCCGTCAGATCTTCGGTTTGGCACCAAGAGGCCTGAAGGTGTTTTGCAGGCAGGATGCTTGGGCAAGGATCGCGCGTTCGCCGTGTGCTACAGTGACAGGGGCAAGAGCGTCAAATTCACCTCTCACTCTAAGTTGAATCGGCAGGAGTTGCTCCACGTGAAGCGAGATGTTGATGCCATTGCCTTCAGTGAACAGTTGCGGATGCTGGCCGTGTACTCACCCGAATCCAGGCAAGCAGGCATTTATGCTTGGGATGAGCAGTTTGGACGACATCACGATTACTGCGCACCGATCCCCTTGGACAACCACCTTCCCGACGCAGAGTTGGTACAAATGCATTTTCTTCCCGCTACCAAGCAGCTCTGCTTTGTCTTCCGCTGCAACACAGTAAGGATCTTCGAGCTTGTCCCGAAGTGCATGCGTCCGCGAGGCTTCTCGATCACACCCAATGTGAAGTCTTTCGTGGATTCTGTCGGCACAGCTCTTCTGGCACTGCACAAGGACTCAGATGCTGAGACGACATGGAAGATGGACATCTTTCTGCCCGCGGACGGGCGGAAGATCAAGACCTTGACGCTGCCCCTCACAGGCTGCGTTGCGCCGCCTTGCGTGGACATCGTGAGGCTCTACGGGGCAGACTTCCTGGTGGCTGTAGACCCTGCAATTCGTGAGCTGCATGGCTGGCACTTCAAGCTGCAAACCGCCGAGCAGATCTGTTCCATGGAGCAGCTGGGAAGTGCAGAGGCCGATGTCCAGCCAGGCTTACCGCTCACCACGCCCTTGGACATGCTCAGTCAAGTCCTCTCCAAGTTCACGAGCCAGCCGGCGCTCAGTGGAATGAATCCTGCTCCACAGACGACTCGTCTCACCGTGCTTGGTGCACAAGCTTTCGATGATGCGGCACCTACGGCGGAAGTGGGAAGCTACATCTCCAAGCTTTTGGCCAAGCTCAAACAAGACACACAGAAGCCCTCGCTGGAGTCCTTGCACATCGAGCCTAGTTGCATTGGCCAGAGTGCATGCGCATGCGCATGTGCAGTGTGTTTGCGTATCATGTCTTTGCTGTCTTGCTTGCCATCAGGAAACTACATTTCTTCCCATGGCATGCGCAGATCCTATGTGGGCGGTCGATGTGGTGGCTGGCATGACGGCTACAGATTTGAGCCTGACGCAGTGCCTTGGCCGGTATGGTGCCCTCACCAAATTGAGCCTTGCAAGCGCGTCAGACCAGCTGCCCAGGTTTGTCCGCAGCATGATTTGCATGGTGCCTATGCAAATCGCGCGGGCCGAGAATGAGTCGTTTATTATCCTCAAAGATGGTTTGCGGGAGGACGTCAGCGATTTCAGCCATGTCAACGAGCTGGCTGGCTTCATCTCTTTCGGTCTCTACGAGCTGATTCTGGAAAGCAACGAGAATCCGGTGGTTGTGATTTCCAGCATGGGCAAGCAGTCAACCGGAAAATCCTACATGCTCAACCATTTGGCAGGCGTGGGATGTTGTCAGTGCCACTTCGGTACAGCTTTGGATCTGCAGGAAGCTGCTTTGATACTGCTGGGGGCCGATGCCGTGTGCTCAGATGCCATGCGTTTCCACAAAAAATCATTGAGCCCATTCACGACGGTACAAACCAAGCATTCCGCTAGGCACTGACGGGGTTTGGATGACCCTGCGAGAGTTGCCAGACGTGACATACATCCTCTTGGACTTCGAGGGGCTGGGCTCCTTTGAGCGCTCGGCGCAGGAAGACATGCTGCTCTCTGTCAGAACCTCAGGACAAGCTTGCTCACACTATTTCTTGCTCTGTAATCAAACCTTGAGAGCCGTCCTGGTACCCGTGCAATGCGCATGTTGGAGCCAGGTCTTCAACGCTGCCATCTCCCATGTCTCTCTCTTTCGCACCGAGAACCGCCTGGACTGCGACACTGCCAACATCTTCTCCCGCATGCAGCAGGGCGCCAAATTGATTCAGGGAGACGAGGCGAGGCTGGAGGGAGGTTGTCAAGATTCACTTTCTGCCGTTTTAAATGCGTATCCTGGTATAGTCAAAGACCAAACGATTTGTTCGACTCAGCGTGTGCAAACTCCTTTGGAGTTCGCCTGTGGAGTGAGCGATGTGCGATTTCATTGCGAGGAGCTCTTCAACGGTATGTTTCAGATTGTCGTGAAGGACGTTGTGTCAGATGCCAAAGAGGTTGCCCAGGAGTTCAAGCAAAAGATTCAGCACATTGTGGCACGGGATAAGGAAGACAATTTCTTCCTGCGTCTCTACAAGGGTCGCGCCCTTGTCTCAGACCAAAACCAGGTGAAGTCACACATGCTGCATGCCAGAAACTGTGGAGAGAGCATGGCACGTGATGCCGTGAATAAAAGCAATGCCAGATGAGACACCTACCATACAATTTTGTATGTAGGCTGGGCGCTAGCGCGCTCAGGTGGGCATCCTTCCGTTTCCCGCGCTGGGCCGGCTGGAGTTCTACAGGGAGTTCGCTTCTCTGACCGAAAAGGTCCAGGCCGCGCAGGCGGGGCCCTCGGAATGGCGTTGCAGCCTCCTCGTAACTGGACGCATGTGGTCCCATGGGCGGGCAGGCCTCCGGAAGATGCTTTGAAAGTGGCCGACAGTTTTTGCGGAACACGAAGCTGCTTATGTCAAAGATTGCTATGAAAGATTGGACTCCTACAGTTTCTTGGTTGCAGTCGAACTGAGTGTCAGCCTTCTTTTCCGCCTTATCTTCCACAGCACCTTGAAAGCGCCTGAGGATCAGAACAAGATCAAGATGCTCCTGTCAGGCCTCAGTGAGTGCATGGGGCCTGCTGTGGCTGCAGGCTGCATGGCGCTCACGGAGGACCAAGTTCGGGAACTGTCGCTTGCAGCACATGTTGCGTGACGTAGCAATGTGCAATATATCGTAGCATGGAGAGCCATCGGGGCGTGAACTCGCATGTCAGGCTTACAGAGTGCATTCTGACGTTTGCATTTGTCGACAGGATGGTGCGACACCTTTGCTCCACCTCCGAAGCAACAAGACCTTTGTGACGCCAGACGCTTCCATGGATGCTGAGCCAGAGTTCGTGAGCTCTGTCCTCTCCACACTGCCAGATGAAGGCCTCCTGCTTTCCATTGTGGTGGAGGAAAACGGCTCCTGGGACATCCGCGTCACTCGCGAGATCATGGCTGATTTGGAGTCGAAAGTCAACGCTGTGCGAAGTTGCAGCGCCGATGCTTTGATGTGAAAGCAATTGTATGTCGAGTGTCAAGTTCATTTTTCTATCCATACGTATGCGAACCCATTGGAGATTTCTGCTCATGAATTTGGCAGCAAGGATGAGCTGTCCAGGGCACTTCATGCTCTTGCGGCGCGGCGTCAGCAGCGCATTGTCGCTTGGCTAGAGTCCAACCTGGAGCACATCGCTAATGAAGGCGATGCCCAGCGTTTGATGATGCAGACCAAGACGTTGTTGGCCAGGCCGGAGGGAGTAGTTGGCAATCACTTTAGCTGTTTACATTTGCGCTGCGAACAGCAACTTGCAAATAACAGGCTACTTACGTGGCTCAGACAAAGCAACAAGGCAACAACAGATGCTCATACAAGGCAAGAACCGATGCCCGCTGCAGGCTGTTGCAGCGACTGCGGCTCTGCGGCATGGATTGTGGGCAGTGCCGGCTACCGTGTGCGCTGCCTTGGGATCACGACCTCCCGCACGACTGCGGCACGGACCACCGGTGCCACGCTTTCTGCCACTACTGCCAGGAGTCCGGGCGCGCCGCCGCGTGCCAGCAGAGCGCCGGGCATGCGGAGAACCACGACTGTGGGGACGCCTCCCACACCTGCGGCCAGGAATGCTCGCTGTCCCTGCTGGGCAACTGCGGCGGGCGCTGCGTGCTGAAGCCTGGGCACTCAGAGGACCATTTGTGCGGGAGCTTGCGGCACCACTGCGGCAAGCCTTGCGGCCTGTCAACGTGTTCCAACACTTGTGTGCTGCCATTCGACTTGATGCACGAGCAGTGCGAGTGCCACGTCATCGTGTGCCCGAACAAGTGCTCCTTCCCCAACTGCAGCTTCATGTGCTCGGTGTCGGACCATTTCCATGCAGACGGTCGAGCCGACTGCATGTGCGACCAGCCGCATCAATGTCCTCACGAGTGTCAGTCCACAGGCATTTGCGAGATCTATTCTGAGCTTGTGGTCAAGAAGCAGAAGTTCACTGGCAAGCACGACACCTTTGACTACGATGCCATAGAGACAGAGCAGAACGGAGTGCGCAAGACCTGTTGCAAGGTCATCCCAGCCAAGAGCCGCGAGCACGAGGGCGAGCACATCCATTCCACCACCGAGAACTTGGTCCATTACTGCGACGAGAAATGCCCCACCTGCGGCTACTACTGCACCTTGCCTTGGGGCCACTCGGGGGACCACGACACCCGTCATGGGAACATGCGGAGGACCTACTTCGTCTCGGATCAGGAGGTGTTCACACTGGGCTCGCGCAAGTATGCGCCTGCGGAGTCAGGGGTGGCCGAGATGTGCAACATGTACTGCCACCGGGCCGGGCGTCCGGATCTCAGCTTGAGCATTGCCATGCAGGAAAGCAAATAAAAAAGACATGGCGCACAGAGTCACATAGGTGTACTCGAAAGGAAACACGAAGGGTTGCAAGCTGAATTTGTTGCCCGCAAGTGTCATTCTGCCTAGCTTAGGTGGGCACACACATGTGAAGCTCTGTGCAGACTACTCCCAAGGGCGGGATGAATGTTGCATTTCTGCCATGCCTGGGCGGCGGCATTCGAGCCGGCGGTACAAGCCCAATCCGGATGAGCCCAAGGATGAGTTCACCCATGCAGCTTTTTGGGAGAGCATCAGCTTTCGCGACCCCTGCTCCAATGAGGACATCGACCTGTTCGGCAAGTGCAACCACTTCTGCCCGCATGAGTCGCACCTGAAGGATGGCGAGCAGCCATCCTTCTGCACGCTTCCCTTGTGGCATGCGGCGCTTACCAATGAAGAAGGCAAGTTCCATGTTGTGCAACATGGCGGCATAGTGTCGCCTGATGGGCATCACTTCGCATGTTCTCACCGCACTGGCCTTCCGGTGCACACAATCATTTTATTGGACAAATCCACATCCATGAATGCTGGTGATGCAAGGCCACAGGTGTGGCCTTGGCGCAAATTGCATCCCAACCGTTTGGGCTGCGCTCTGGCTGCCGTGCAATCCTTTGTGGAGAAACGGCGGTACGGCAGTGAGCAAGATCTTGTCTCCGTCATCGCCTTTGATGTCCAGGCTTACAACGGCCCAACAGCTGTTCCAATATTGCAGTTTGACAGCACAGACCAATGGCTTCAACGTCTACGGCCGAGCGGCGGGACCAGCTTTGCGCAGGCTGTGAACGCGATCAGCCCCTGCATTCAGCAGACTCCGGCAGGTCACCGTTGCTTGGTGCTCTTTTTGTCGGATGGTTGGGATAGGTACCCACGGGCAGAGCTGAGCAACCTCTTTGCCAATGCGCAAACGCATGCCGATGGCGAGCCGTTGTGCTTCCACACTCTACAGTTCCCTGCGGGCCAGGCGCGGGGTTGGTACGCATTTGTTCGTGCCTTTTGCTTTGTGGGGCAAAGAAGAAGGTCTCCAGGACCTGTGCCGCGTTTTTCTTTGCATCCTTGAAGCATGTTCCTTTTCTTGTCCATGAGGAGAGCGGAAAGGCGGTCCTGGAGGAGATGGCGGCGGCGGCTCGGCAGGCGGCGCAGCACGAGGACTTCGCCGCGCGCAGCAGCTACATGGCCTCCGTGGATGGCATCTCGCTGCAGGAGGCCTTCGTGGGAATCGCGGCGTCCCTCTCTGCGCCCGCCGGCGGCTTGATCTCCGGCTGAGGCTGAAGGAACTGAAGGATTTAGGCGTAGAACCTGCAGATGCAGTTACTTTGGGGTTTTGCAAGCTGCACTGTGCAAGGGATGGGGGACAGATCAAAAGCCGCAATGTGGTTTGCTTGTTTCCGATTCTGAAGTAAACCATGTGAGTCCAGATGCTGTACCTTTATTCCCTCAATGCATGAATGGAGCTTTAGTATTAGCCGTAGCCATGCAGCATGAACCGAAGCTCGTATTTTAAGTGCTGCAAGTGCTACGGGGGGGTCTTTTAGCTGGCCGAGCATGCTTGAGCCTGGATACAATTCGAACGGTTTGAAAAATCTGCACGTCGAGCGACGTGCGCACGGGACATGCGTTTGCTCTGGCAAGACTGGCACCTGCTCGCGTCGCCTTGGGCTCCGAGTGGCTGGGTGCAAGGCGTTCCTTAGGGCACTGAGTCCTCCGCACCTTCCGTCTCCGAGCCGCTTGCCAAAACTTGGTCAATCCTCGAAGTCCTTGCCCAGAGTTGTTCAAACTTTCATAGGGTAACGATGTGACTGCCAAGTTATTGTTTATATGTATTTCTCTTTCGAGGCCGCCCCACCACGCTACGATTATAGCTGGAGGCGCGTGATTGGACTTGATGTTGATGTGAAAACACATCCTGTGACCATGGATAGCACCTTTGTATGCGAGCATGTTGCCTTGCTCAAAAGGGTGGCCGTGACTTTGTGATTTGCAGTTCAGTGCCTGTGGCAATGGACGCTTCAGACGCAAATGATACACCTGCACCACTCCAGCTACTGCTACTGTAAAGCAAGTTGGTGCCAAATATTTCGAGAAGGTAGCCATTCGAACCGAAGTTGTTGCTGTGAGCTACTTCAAGCTTCATCACTGGGTGAGACGTTTGGCTGCTTTGGTGAGCTCTGGGATTGAGACGACAGATCAAGTTGCTTGGCTTGACCTGTGCTTGCTATTGCATAGGGGCGGTGTCGGCACCCATAAATGTCCGCCGCTCGCCGGAGGAGGTCATCATGGTTGATTGCCAAACTGCCTTTCCTGTAAGTTGCAATGTTGGAGCCCCAGCGTATGGTGAGTTTGCGGCCATCGGCAAACTTCAGGTAGTCATCTTCATTCTGTCTGGCAATGTCTCCTGTCCGCCACTCCTGGAAAAGGTCATCCCAACAGCCAAGTGTTCCCCAGAGAAACAAGTTTGAAAATTGTTGCCCTCATCCACCAGCCGCACCTCTGTGCCAGCAGTTGGAAGTCCAATTGAAAGGGTTGCATTGAGAAGTGCCATCCAATTTCAGTACTGCCGCAGCCATTTATGACTGGTCTGCCAAACAACTGAAGAAGCCTATTTCGGAGCTTCAATGGCACACAGTCTCCATCTGCAAGCTTGTCAGGCTCCCCTGGCTCCTTTCCAAGTGCTGGACAAAATCCAGCAAAGATAGTAAGCACCACCTCCAACCGTCAAAGCCAAAAACTGCGCTGATAGGCGTGCGACATCCTCAATTAGTCCGAACGCCGAAGTACTGATCACTGCCCAGCAGCCTAGAATGCGGCACACCTTTCGGATGACCAGTTCTCGAAAATAGACTCCAGATTATGGACCTTTGGCCCTACCGTCACCTCCAGCGTCTCAAAGAGAAAATCGGATAAGGCTTTGCTATGCACCCCGAAGTGCACTCGTCAGTTGTAGTAGGAGTGCCAGACGAAGAGGGCCCTGTTGCTTGGATGATGGCCAAGGGTTCGGACCCAGCCTATCAGCGTCCTGTACGCTATTGGTTTGTGGAGGAATCCTCTCAGCGGCGATGGGGGGTTAAGTTCCTTGGAATACCGGCGACCACTCACAAGCAGCCATGGAAGCCTTCGCATTTGCTGGTGCGTAGGCGTCATCTACAGCATTGCAATGTTACAATGCAAAGAAATAGATTTCGAGTTTCTATACTCGGTTACCGTGCGCCCTTTTTGGGGCGGCCTACATGACAATTTGCCGGCTTGTGCAGATTCCCCTGTATACTGATTATCTTGCATTCTTGGCAGCCTGTGCGCTTGGAGCAATGCAGACCGGCTGCCGATACGATGTTTCCAGCTTGAAGGATGGATATAACTGAACAGGCGGTCAAACACGCACACCCGTAAAATGATGTGCCAAGGTGAAGTACAGTATGACATGCCAACACAGACGAGACTGCCGGAGGTGTGCCAGGATTGGGGGCAACACCAGCAGATGGAGATGAGGAGGACAGCTCAAAGAACGCTTTCATTCCATTGTTTTGAGCTTTCTTTAGAAGTTCCAGACCTGTCAGACCAAGAAAATGCGTTGAGTGCGGGAGGCAGTAATCGCCAAGAAAATCCTGGAGTAGCTGGGCTGGAGGGCAACATGTCTGAGTGCGAGCCCAAGCCATCCACCTTTCGAAACAGACCGGCACTCAGCTCAATAGCAAGGCTCTTGATCCACGCCTCCGAAAGTTGGCGTGCTTCTTAGTGTCTCCGTTTTTTCCCGCATCGAGTTCATCTCCAAGGACCTGAATTGGCAGGTCGCTTTCTGAACTGGTCCTTTCAGAAAGCAACCATGGCATGTCACAACGGGTGATGCTCAGTTTGTTGCACATCGACTCTGCTGCCCCGGCTTGTGACGACGCTTGCGCGAGGCTTTTCGCCATGCTGACTGATTCAAGTCCTCTCTGATTTCACCTGCCGGGCCCTTTGTGGTTGTGATCCCAAATGTGGCATTGCAGATTTCAGAACAAGCTTTGACCAAGCTAAGCCATGGTCGGCCCTTTCCCTGTTGAGATGTGTTGCACAGGGAGTTGGTTCGTTCTTCGGCAGGGCGCTGGACATGGAAGTCGAAATCTGCTAAGGAGTGTGGAACAACTCATTTGCCGAAGAGAGCTTTCCCTGGTATGGATGGCGCTCGCATGGGTGCGGGGAAGGCGAGAGCAAGGGGAGAGAGTGGAGGATGCTTCCGGACTTTCCACGATGGGACCTTGCACGTTCCGTGGGAAACCATGGGCGGATTGCCACATGGGCGTGTCACTATGGATGGAAGGACCCGCATGTCTGGCACATTTAGATCTTGCAGCACGTATGTGCCATGTTTACAGCATAGTGCATGCCCGGCATAGACCTTGCATTGTCCTAGCATCGGCCTAGCATGTTTCTAGCGCACATCTAGGATGTGTCTGATTTGGCTTGACTACATTGTCAGCTAATTTCCAACACACGGCCACCGTGTAGCAAGCGTGATTGCCGCAGAACTACAAACGCCGAGGGCCTCCAGGATCTGGGGACATAAACCAGTATTTTTATGGTTACGTGTCACGTTGCCCGCCTCGGCCAGAATGCTTTTGGCTGGCTTTGAGGTACCGTTTTTGAGGTTTGCCTTGAAGTGTTGTGTTTGTCTGAGTGAGTGAGTCGCACCGAAATGTGCGAGCTGGTTTCCAAGATAGAGCGTGGGTGCATGTTCGCGCGTTTTCACATGGCTTGAAGGGCTAGGTGGAACGAGAGCCGTCGACAGGAATTTGACCGGTTGAGACGGGAACATTTCTAGGGGGATATGACTGGAGTTGGGCCGGTTTTGAGAGGCGATTTGACTCTAGACGGAAATTGACCCGACGAGCCGGGCAATGTCGGCGGATTTGCGATTGGACATTGCTTTTGCAACTCGACTGTCGAGGCGAGACCTGCGACACAGCAGTCTTGCGCAGGGGCCTAAGCACGCGGGTCGCTCAAGTCGTTCGACAGTTCCCCCTCTTCGCCCTCTAGCGGCTTGATCCCAGTTTCCAGAAGAAAGGGCAGGTTGTTCAATTGATGTCGTGCTGTAGCTCCCAACCTTGTCAGCTGTCGCTGCAGCCCGCTCAGACTCCACGTGCCAGACAAACGCAACAAGCCCCTCAGTATGCCCAGAGCACCCTCAAAACATTTTGTGATCTCCCTTTTCGGTTCAACACATCGCCTTTCAGGCCCGTTTCAAGTGAGTACTCCTTTAGTTGGGGTGAAGTGGAAATCAGGGGAACCTGGCATCTCCCCGAAGAAACTTGAATACTTTACGATTGGCTACGGTATGAACTGACAGACTGCAAGAGTAGCACAGGCAACATTTTTGTGCTTAACACAGCCAGACCTGGCCTGCCAGTGCTTCCTGCCGTGCTGAGTGGAGCTCCCGCGCCATGGACGGAGGCGCAGTCTTGAAGGATGCGTGCCCCAAGCTGCCAGCGGGTTCCGTGGCAGGGCGCGCCCTGGGGTATGCCTACATGCTGGCGCGGGGCCCAGGCGGAGCCTGGTGCCGGCCATGATCGGCGATGTCAGGTCAGGGGGGACCACGCCCCAACATCCTACAGAGACGCCCCAACATCTAAAAAGACCCCAAGACATCTCGCCCCAACATCCTGACTAGGTGCCGCAACATCTTAAGGATGCGCGGGTATAATTCCCCTCAGGCCAGCACCACCAGCTTCACCGGCATGGCGGCGGTGTCCAAGGCCCCCGGACGCCCAAAAAGGACAGCGCTCGCCGCGAGTCGCGGCAAGCCAGGTGATCGGCCCCCGGGCCTCCACCGAGGAGAAGCTCTTCTGGAGGCGGGGGCAAGTGCCCGGTGATACTTAGTTCTGTCAGAAGAAGGCACTCACAACAACCTTCAAGTGACTTTCATTTTGATTTCGATGCAACAGGCTGGCCAAAGGCGGAATCAATCTAGTCTTGAGAGATTGTCGGTCCCGGGCAAGGCAATGCCTCCGGTCCAAAATTTGTGGGAGTTGTTTGTTTCACGTGAGGTGGGAAATCGACGCTCCCATGCTCTTGGCAGGTCGTTGTTGTCGGTGTGCTGCACGCTGCTGCAGAATGCACCTTGCCCGAGGTGTTTTAAAACCAGTGGCATACTCAACAATAAGAAGAGAAGGAAGAAGAAAAGAAGAAGCGCAGCAAGACAGATGCTTAAACCTTTTGGGACTGATCCCGTCTCAAGCTGAGCCGGGAATTGACCTGGGCTCGCTCAGGGTGCTGCCCCGCAGCTGCCCTGCCACGCTGGGCTCCTGGGGCTGTGCGCTCAAAGTGGCTTCGAGAGCGAGCATGCGATTGAAACCAGACCTCGAAGCATTTGGAAGCCACCTGTTTGCGGCAATGGGCTTTTGGCTCGACTCACACGTTGCTTCTGCTTGCAAACGGAGGGCAGCGCCTGGCCGATACACTCCGTGCGCCCAAGGCTGCGCGGGCTGTGCGGCCACCTCGCCCTGCTGGTCGGTTGCTTGCATCTCATTGCTCAGTTTCCGGACTCTGAGCGTCTTAGGCCTACTTGGAAGCCCTGGAGCGCGTGCCGCTCGCGGAGGCCGCTGAAGTCCGCGTTGGTCAGTGAGTGGACTGAGTGGACTGAGTGGACTGACTGCTCAGGCCGTGTTCCTCGGCAAGGCTGGGCCTTTGGCGCTTTGCTCTCGCAGCCTAGCCCCAGAGGTGCACCCCGTTGCCGCTGCTGTCCTGTCGTGGATCTTCCTGGGTGCCTTGGCAAGTCGCAATCTCACACAGGTGCAAAAACATCTTTGTGTAAGCATTGTAAGCCAAAGCCCTTCAGACATTTGTGAATGTTGAGGGGGAGCGTTTGGAAATGTTTGGAAGCGCATCGGTTTTGCCACAATGCAGGCTATGTAGGCTTGGGTCGAACCGGTTGGGTCGGGTTGATCCCAGAGGCGAAGCTCTGAGTCTGGCGCGGGCGCTGAGCATCGCTGCCTCCCTTCTGGGCGTGGCGTGGCTTGGAGAATCGGTGAGAGTCGCACGCGCGCATTTGCCCAAAAAAACATTTTCATGCTTCCATTGCTTCCCTCTGTTTCTTCTCGCTTCACTTTGCTGGAGCTCGGAAGCCGAGGCTCATTGCGAATCCATCCTGGGAGGCGCAGGGCCTCGCAGGGCCTCGCAGGGCGTCGCAGGGCGTCCCGGCGCGCCCAGTTCGGTTCGGCCCAAGGCGCTCAGCTCGGGTGACCTCGTGGGCCATTTGCTGGCGCTGCTGGCGGGGCGGAGTTCATGTTCGTATGGCACTCGCGGACTCCCGCTCCCCTTTCCAGACTTTGCAGGGGCCATTTGCTGCTGGGTCATCGGATGTTGAGAAAGGCCCCTTCCAAGCTAACGGACGCCAGGCGGGCACCTTGTCAGGCAGGGCACATGAGAGCGACTCAACACAAGTTCTTCTCCAGCGCGGTGTGTGTTTGTCGTTGTGGGAACGCACGTCGCGTCCGCGTTGTGCGCCATGAGGTACTTCCCAAAATGCTTGGTTTACCATCGTTTTCATTGACCCAAACTCAATGGTTTCTCACGGTTTCTCCTGGAGTTCCCCCAAACGGGTCAACTTAGGGCTCTCCAGGCGGCGCCTACTGCTGCGTGCGGTGCCTCTCACGCAGCGGCGAGGCCCTCCCGGGAGCGGCCGCAGGTTTGACTCAAAAGCCGCAAGTGGCAGGGGGTAAGGCTTAGGCTGCTTAGGTGTCTACATCACATTTTACATATATGTGAGTACATGTTACAACGTGTGTAGAGGTGCTTTGGGTTTGATCCCCCATCAAACATTGTAGAGGTAGGTTTTGAAGTGACGTTGCAGTTTCTTGCAGTAGCGCGTTTGCCAGAGAGCGGCACCGCCACAATGTCTCAACAGAAGACACGGAACGGGATTTGAGTAACTTGGTACGGCTTCTTCCTCGCTTTCCGTATCACAACTAGCCTGATTTCTTGAGGCATTCCAGATCATGAGATATGTAGCTTTTGCTGCTGACACTGTCAGGCAACCGAGGCCAGAGGCACATGAGTTCCGCAAAACAAAGGCACCGCCGTGCGGCGTGCGAGATTCCCGCGCAAGCAGGACAAACAGTCCCAAACATGAAGCTGATACCACACAAGCACACATGCTGAACAAGTATTCTCATTGTTTGATTTCCCATGTTTGCTCCCAAAGTATATCAAAGCAGGAATTGGACTCAGTAACTGCAGTATGACACAGGTGTAGCAGTTTTCAGTGGCAGAGGCAAGTGTCAAGACTTGTTTGGCATGTGCCTTCCATACGCGACATTGCTGGTTGCTCACCAGAGCGGCCAGGCAGAAACTTGGACTCTGGCATTGCCAGCCGCAGCTTGGCAAAAGCAAGGCAAAGCCGGCAAAGCTACCAGCACTAGCATCCTCAAGAATGCACGAGTGACCGGTCGGGATCTGGGACCGGGGTCGGGAGCGGATGGCCTTGGCGCGGAGGTGTCGTTGCCCTGTGCCAACGCTTGGCCGGGCACTGAGCTGACAAGTGAAGCTTGGCGAATGAAGCGAAAAACTTAAGTTGCTGCGAGGTCTGGTGCCGGACACGAAGCGAGCACTTGGGCCGATGGCTTGACAGGGAGTTTGGGCGGCTCCACTTGCTGTCGCCCCAGGCGTGGCTTCTGGCGCTGGGTGTCAGCACCCAGCTGGGGCAGGCGGGGAACAGTACCAGAGTGTGCTTCGCTTTCGCCGTTCCTTTGCTCCTTGCTGCCTTCGCGAGGTCTTCTTGGTGCGGGGCCTGGCACGGCTGCCGGCGGCCTGCGGCACCCAGGCCCGGAAAATTTGGGTGTTGCGCAGAGTTGGATTCGGATGAGGCGATGTACTTCGGCACCCTGCGCCGTGCTTAGAGATGCGGGAACGGGGGACTGGGAGATGGAGTGAGCAGTGGGCGGACGGCTTGAGGTCCGGGGTGGCGCTGGGCAGCCTCTTGGGAGCGGCTGAGCTGCACAGGTCGCGAGTGTGAGCGTGGTGAGCTCGGTCTCTCAGGAGCCTTTGCCTAGCCTGCAGGCGTGGGGGTCGGGGGGGAGAACACGAGAACACCGAGCACAGGGGGTCTCTTTCGTCTCTTTCTGGCGATGGAAAGGCGTGCCAGGCCTGCGCCGGCGGCGCCGTGATCGTGGGCTCGCTGCAGCTGGCGGGCAAATTCGAAGCTGTCGTCGGTCGGCCGAGTTCGAAGCTGTCGTCGGTCCGCAATTCGAGTCGGACCGCTTGAAGCTTTCACTTGGAGGCCGAATGGGCAGACTCACAGGCGGGAATGGGAGCATCTAGCATCTCAGGGCCCATGACTACTGATTCATGCTAGCAAAAAACAATGTGCGCCCATACACACACGCATCATGTCACAGACCCTTTGCTGGTGCTTTAATGGAATCCACCGTTTCAACTTGGGGGCCGCAACCAGTTGAATTCCCCGAAAAGACCAGAGGGTTTCATGTTCATCCCGTTGGCGCCGGTCAAGAGTTCCCGTTGTGTGTGCACGTTGAATGGAAATGAGCTCCATGCCAGGCAAGCTTGCAGCGCGAAAAAGCGCACTGGCTTTTCTTTGCTGATCTTCCCACAGGGCATAGGCTTGTGCTCAAGAGAAGCACTGAGGTTGGTGGTGATCTTCATGCGGGTGAATGCAGGCAGGCGCAGCGATGGGGGGAGTTGCGGCTCGGAGCACCCCTGTTGTGATCAGCTTCTTCCGTGGGAGTGTCCGCGACTTTCTGGATCGCTGCTTTTTTCCATTTGCCAAGGAACCGTGCGGGGAACGTGAAATGCTGGCCCTGAGCTTGAGCCAACTTTTCAATGGTAGGACGGCCCGTAGAAGTTGAGTCTCGTTAGTTCTCACCCGCGTTGTGTTGTTGGTTTCCGCCCAAAGCGGGCAGCGCCAGCGGCGAAGAACAAGCAAACCGCAGAAAACACGACCACGTATGGCATGTAAGTGCTTTGGATGGTAGCCCCCATGCTGGCCAATCCTATCTGAACAACTCTTCTTGACAACTCCACAGTGCCACCATTCGGCCGCCCAACTTTTTTGAGCACAAATGGTGAGAGGCTACACTGCCAGCATTGAGACACGGAATTTTTCAAGTAAAGATACCACCGCGTGGCATGCTTGGAAGGTTGAGATGCAGTGCTTCCAGCATGGAACTATGCGGACATGTGGCTCTGTCAAGCGCGACTCCACGCAAACATGCCCGCCCTCAGCCATTTACGGCTGATGCCCTCCCGAGCTGTGCTTGGGATTGGGCAGCGCCACTTGGCCTTACAGGGAAAGCTAGAATGGTTCCAAAGGGAAGCTTTGGGCTGGACTTGGAGACGCACACGTGACGTGTTGTTTGCTCGCAGCCTAGGTCACACCCAGTGCCTTGGATGATCTATCGCGGCCTGGGACGGGACAGTGATGTCGGGATGGCGCACTGAGGTCTACTGCCCAACTCCGTTCCATATTTCCATATACCTCATCGCCGTGGATGTAGGCGTCCCAGACAAGGGGAGGACACAGGATGGTTTAGGGATGGCTCAGATGTTGTTTCCTTCTCGTATGAGCATTCCAGAAGTGCCTGCAGACTAAGGTTAGAATGAGGCATGTTCATTGCGGCCTCTTGCTTGCTGGTGCGCCGTTTCTGACTCAGGCTCATGGTGTGTGAGCACCAGTTTTTTGCGACTCTCCCGCTTTTCCAGGTACGCTTTGGCACGTGCCTGCTTCAGATGTCACAGTTTCAGTGCCAGCGTATCACTGACCAAGTTGGGGGAGCCGAGGTTGTTGCAGCAACACAATCCGATGAAAGCCCAAGAAAACGTT